AAAATAGGCCTGCTGAGATCTTCCTGTATGTCCTAATTGTTATAGATTTAATTCATTATTTCCGTAAACTTGTATATGTCAAAATGATCCAAGGCTGTCAGCAATTCTGTTACAATTCCGTCTGGCCCTGCCGCCTTGTTTCTGTTCAATTTCGTCAGTGGAGCCTCTACTTCGGTATTTAGAATTTCAGGCCCGTCGGTAGTTCTGTGTATTGCCGGTTGTTCTCTTTCGTCGTGGAGGAGTTCTCCAATGTATTCGTTCCAGCGCTGAAGAATTTTTCCCTTCTCTAATATGAGTCTTCCATCTTTGGATTTTATGCAGCCTGTTGACGAGCATGTCATCTGTCCTTTTAGTTGCCTTATTTGCTTAAGCATGTCTACTTTGTTGGTTGTACTCAATCTCTCTATTTTTGCGAATTTTTTGTTTATCGATTTTTTTTTTTAGCCTGCCTGCATTTGGTCTTTATTTCATTATGTAATTTTGTGTATTCCGTTCCATATCTTGGCAGAGTTTTCTGTCTCCTTTGCATCATGTCGAGAATCTCATCAGTCATCCATTCGTTTTTTTTCTTTCTTCTCCGTCCATTCACCTTTGGGATGATATCGTTTACTGACGTCACTGAACCTTCTCTTACTGCGTCCCTTTCGAGTTTCCATTGCCAGTGTGAGACTCGTATCTTCTTTTCACAATGTCCATATATTTTTCTTTCTGCTACGGATCGCTCAGCAGTTTGTTGTATTGCAATTTCGGTTCTGCGTGAGGCTTCTTCAGTTTCCTGCAGTTTCAATTTGAGTTCACATATAACAGGCCGATGGTCGCTTCCGCAGTCGGTACTTTGGTAGGTTTTGCTATGAGCCATTGCATTCCTGAATGAAAAAAAGAGCTCTTAGAGTCACTGAGAAAAGAATGGAATCCATTATCAAACTTACACTTTGATAAACTTTTGAAACGAATGACAAAATATTGTTTTGCAGTAATCAAGGCTACAGGAGGATATTTTGACGACAGCAAAAATTTAATCATATATGATTTTTTTTCTTTTTGTCATAATAGAATATCTAATAATAAATCAGATTTCACTTATTTATTAACCATGTATAATAATTTTCTCTTATTGAAAATACAAAACAATAATAATTTTCTCTTATTGAAAATACAAAACAATAATAATTTTCTCTTATTTAAAATGCCAAACAATGATAATTTTCTCTTATTTAAAATACATAACAATAATAATTTTCTCTTATTTAAAATACAAGACAATAATAATTTTCTCTTATTTAAAATACATAACAATAATAATTTTCTCTTATTTGAAATACAAGACAATAATAATTTTCTCTTATATAAAATACAAAACAAAAAATATCAGTGCTAGTCTCAAACTTTTCAATTGTAGTGTATATATATTGAGAATTTTTTAGAATGTTTTTTTTTATTATTAAATCGACAGATTTTAAAAAATTAAAACGTTATTTTTTAGTATATAATAATATCTTAGTAGACCTTCCGTTTATTTATTAAACAATATATTTATTTATTTTCAGCTACCGGCCTGAATATTCGAGATCTTCGAACGGCCCAAGTTTTTCTTTAATGAATTTTTTCAAATATTCAACCCGAAAATATATTTGTGGTTGTGTATCTTGGCTTGGGAAATTAGTAATTCTTACAGGAAAGGTGAGATTGGTAAGAAACCTGAGAGTAGATTTACATTTTGGTAATATTCGATAGCATTTTCCTTCGGAGTAAATTACTTTCTCTTTCAATGAGTGTAGCATTTGTTAGATAAAAGTTCTGGTTGAATGCCTAGTGCATTTGATAAATTGTTAGGTATAAGGTCCCTTTTGTGTTCATAGTTATTATTTTTTAAATTCCTGAATGTTTGCCTAATGTATTGTGAGAAACAGTTTTGACTACATATATATATATATATATATATATATATATATATATATATATATATATATATGTGTGTGTGTGTGTGTGATGTGATTCGCAGACAGTACAGTATCGCTGTATCAGCTCCTCAGTGCGACTAGATGTCCGAAAGCCTCAAGCCAGGATCGAAACCCGACCGACTTAGTGTCAGTCGGATTTTCTACCCATAAGATATCGGCACTCTGCAGAGAGATTCAAAAATTATAACATAATAATGTTATAACGTCTCTACAAAGATAGCTTTACTCTAAAGGTAACTCTTGGTTTTGCAATCAATACCATCACCTGACAAGACACCAGAAGTGTTAAAACAAAATCCCTATTTTTGTAGTGATGTTATGACATGTGACATGCTTATGTTAAAATTTTTGAATAAATACTATTTGCTCTACTATGTATTGAGCACTCTTTTAAGAACAGTGCTATTGCTTCTTGGAAATTTATTCCGTCTGTAGCATTCCTACATTTATTTATATATATATATATATATATATATATATATATATATGTGTGTGTGTGTGTGTGTGTGTGTGTGTGTGTGTGTGTTCGCAAATTTGATAAATTTAACTGATGTTAGGCTGTTTGATTTTAATTTAACCGTTGTATTTTCTTTTTTCTTTTTTTGTTTCGAGAAATGTGACGTCCCCCGGTGTCGCTGCGCCAAATGTGACGTCTGCCTGGCCGCGCCAGCCGTGCTGTCCCGGTCGCGGCGCCAGTTGTTAAGTCACCCCGTCTGACTCCGCGCCGTCGCCGTCCTATCCTGTCCTGTGACGACCAATGTGACTTGGTATTGGTCGCGGCACCAAATGTGACGTTTTAACCTTTTGCTGATTCGGATGGGAATCTGGTTAGATTCGGTATCAGCCTCGTCGTTCCCAGCTCGCCTCCAACGTCTGGTTACCGAAGTAACTGCTTTGATTTATAGTCTAACCTACCCACGTTGTGATTTGATCTTAGGTAGACGAAATCAATCAGTCGCCTGGCCGTAATGCAAGTCGAGTCCGATCAAGGGCAATACCGCCCAAGTTTTTTTTTAAGCTTTTTTTTTAAGCATTTCACCCCAAGCAAGGCGGGAAGCCACTAGGACGCAAGGGGTTACAGAAAATTTAGAGCAAGATCAGATAGGAGTGATAGAAGAAAGGATGAATAGAAGGGTAGTGGATAGATCAAGGCAACTGGAGATGTCGATTGACATTACACTTGAATAGCTGGAGATTATAGCTCACAGGGAAACAGGAAAAGGGAAGGGAGTTCCACAGGCGAGAGGTGCGAGACATGAAGCTATTAGAGTAGAAGAGACGGCTACATTTAGGAGTTTCGACAGTGAAGGGGTGAGAGCGGGATGCCAGCCTCGTGAGGCGCTGGAACTCGTGACGTCTGGGAACCAGCGAATGCAGCTCCTCGGAGTATATGCAAAAGAAAATAAATAACTCGAAAAGTTCAAATGTGTTAAAAAAGGATAACAATATTTTATATCTGGTTGCTTAATACAGGACTGCTTCTTTTCTCCCAAACCGCTATATGGATTCGTGACACTTTGTGTTTGTCAGGCGAGTCTTAACATCTTAAGTTGTTTTTTCTTTAAGAAACTGGTTCTTGGTGTATCTTCAGGCGATATTCGTAAAACTTGTTTTGGTGGTGTGAGTCTAAGTCGTTCTTCAAAAATAAATTGTTCTTGGTTAGAAGTTGAGGTCGTGATTTGCGTGGAATCTTTCAGTCGGGTTCCTGCGAGGCGGATGCAACTCTAACTGCGAACTTCACTGCGTACTTCGAACTTAACTCAGCTTCACTTAACTTAACTGCTTTTCACTCGCTGCGACTCTGCTTATATGGACGCCGACCAAAACCGGGGTGGGCTTGTCAGGGTTTGAGGTTCCTTGATAATACTAAATCCACAATCCACTTCTTTGTTTTCGGCCAGGAAAATTTATTATTTTCCATTTTTGGAAGTCTTTCATCCTCCCATCTTCTTCTGTTCTCATATTGGTATCTCACCATGCCCTCAGAGGGTGTCAACGGCTTTCCGCTCTCTCTCTTACAGTGGCATCTCATACCGATCCCTTCATGGGGTGTCAACAGATCTCCCCTCCTACTTCACATGATTACCTTCGTCTAACGCTCACGCCAGCATTCAGCCAATGGGCACCCAGCAGTGTGGGTGTGGCCAGACTAGCCTCGGTTTAAAAATCTTGCTCAAAGAAAAAAAAATCTTCCTTTTTTTTTTCTTTTTCTTTTCTTTCTCTTTCTTCTTCTCGACAACAAGTCCTTAGACTCGTAGTGTAGTTTCTTAATCTCAATTTTATCTGAATGTCACCTGGAATTCGTCACTCGAGACGTTCGCCAAACAAGTGGGTGGCCATCCGGCGAGATCAACATTCTGGCGTTAATTATTCGTTCTGATAAAATAATTTTTTATTATCGCCAACTTCGACATAAAAACAGATGTCTTTTTCCAAACGACATCTTCGTAGATAGCTAATGGTCAATCTTTTGTTTTTTGTAATTCTGCGGTTGGTCCAACAGACATTTTTCTGCGACCCAGTTAATTTTTATCTCTTTAGAATTCTGTTTCGCAGGCGACTTTACCAACCTGGAATTTATCATTATCGTGCTGCTGTCGTTTATTCGGTGATCGTCATAAATCAAATTAAATTTTGTGTTTTACTTTCTCGACAATGGAAATAGAATCTTACAATTTTTCCTTGTCAGAAAAATAACACGCTTAGTGTCCTGTTCGTGATCGCTTCTTATCACCTAAATTTAATTCTCGCCTTTTTTCTTCTTTCTTTCTAGCAACCTAAATAGTGTCACAGAAATATCAACCTCTATGGATTATTTAATGTCGAGATCTAAATATTTTGTACGCAATTTTATTCTAGTTTTGTAGGTAATAATGATTTATTGATACACGTCTTACTAATTAGCCCATAGCTGGGGGAAGAGGTGATTTAATACTTTTCCCAGGTGCATTTGCGCTGAATTGAATATGACAAACACAAATGAAATTGGAAGTCAAATCTCCGATTAATAGTACCGTACCATTATTAACACCACACATGCTTACAGCACAGGGGATTCCAAAGAGAACACTCATCTAAGTACAGACCAGGCTCGACGATGCTTAACATTGATGATCGTATGGGAATCGACGTGTCAA